AGGCAATGGTACTGATTGTGAATTTGAATATTCTGTTCCAGGATGGGTTGATGTTCTATGCCAAGATAAGTGCAGAGAACTAATAGGGAATTGTGTACAATTGTTTGTGAGCACTGCTGTTGCTGTTTATCTTGACAGGACAATGAATATCAACACCTACAATGAAATATTTTCTGGGTTGACTAATCCCAAACATGAAGCCAAAATGAGAGATATGTTAGTTGCCATATGTAGTGGTGCCATTGGAACTTTTGTCAAAACTTCTCATCAAGTTTTGACAAGTACTGATATGGATATGGATGGAACCACTTCAAAAATGTATTCTTCTTCTTCTTTGCCACTTAGTTTCAAAGCCAAACAATTTTTGGATGAAGAACAGAACATGTACAGTGGGTGGACAAATAAAGTATCTTATACTTTGGCAGTACCAAAGAATAAGAGGTTTATTCTTGATTTAACTGGGAGGGTGACCTTTGAGAGTGTTAGATCTTTTCTGGAGTTTCTGCTGGAAAAGTTGCGCGCGTATTTGAGAAAAAGCTTAGATGTTGTTCAAGAGGAGGTGAAGTATTTGAGAAGAAGTGTAGATGTTATACAAGAGGAGGTGGTTGATACGAGTGCTGAAGCTTACAGTTATGTGAGTGGGAAGTCCTCTACGGCTGTTAGTGTATGCCTCACTTTGTGTTTGCACATACTTAATGGTCCTTGGATCTTGGTTCCAAATTAAAGTTTTAGTATAGAATCTTGGGAAGGTACTTTTATCTTTTGTAAAACTTCCTATTACATTCTTTCGTAAAGGGAATATTGGTTGGTGTAACTGTACATAGTTGCTCTGTACTTGATTGATTGATTGTATTTTACTAATACAAGTTGTCAAAGTGAATGTAAATTTGTCCATATTGTTTTTCCCGTATCCTGGCTATGGTCTTTTCCTTATCTTCCTTCAGTTAAAGTGATCATGGTTCAGGTAAGAAAAGAAAATTTTAAGATTGCAACCAGTAATCAGAGCATCTTTGCTTTGAGTAAACTGAGGAATTAACTTCTACTTAGCTAATATGAGAGAACCCTCAACCGCTGGACTAGCTTTTTTGCTCGTGCCTCGTGGAGGTATCTGTAAGATTATAATCTGATTAAACATCTGCACTGCCCGTTGTCGAGTCTCGTCTCTTCTCAAATCAGGCCAACAATTGAAGTTCTTAATAACTTTAGCCAGGTGTTCCTATATATGAGCAAGTGCTAAAAAGTTGAAAGGGAAAAGGAAATTAAAGAATAGCTTGTGACTAATGGCATGTGCCAATGTGCCATAACAAGATAATTGGCAGCAAAGAATCATATGAGCTCATGAATTTCTTTCATTAGTACGAGAAACAAGAAGCGCTCAAGAGTTGATACCTTTCTTTTAGACCTACAGGTTTATCATTGGACCAAAAAAGGGCAATCCGGTGCACTAAGCTCCGCGGGGTCCAGGGACCAAACCAACAAATTAGGCTGCAAAAATACAGGTACCCTTAAGAAGGCCTCATTTAACCAAAATATTTATGAATGAGATATCCGTATTAAGAAAACTCCTCTATTCGTGGCATTGCTAAGGATTTATAAATTTGACATACATTTCAACATTCAGATATCAGTTCCACTGTAAGTTCACGCGTTCAGCACGTGTTGTATAGTTCAATATATTTCATTCCATTCCCAATAGAGATCAGACTGATCATGGGCCAAACCTGTGCATAACAGAATAAACTCCGTGACCAAAAATGAGACGCACCCTTGTGCCATCCTTCAAAATTAAAAATGAATACATATGCTTCATGCTATTACATTCAGTCATTACCATGCTTTCTAAGATGATCAATTTTGGTTCTCCATACAAATATTTTAAGAGGATGACTTTCAAGTTTCAGGCTGCACAAGTCAGATGCAGTAAGCAGAGAAGAGGAAGAAAATAAAAGAAAGGTAAAGCAACATAGGGACAAATTTATCCAAATTGTCATGTAATATATCTCCTAAGCTGTACTGCTCCAATGGTTGTTTTTGCGTATATATTTCAACAAGAAAAGAAGTGGATGAGTTTGATGGGTAGTCTCATAGAAGCAACTGAGGGGTGAAATTTCCAAAGCTTGGTGTCATAAACTATTTGGATGAGGATGTGGATGCACAAAGCATTTCTAAAGATCAACTGCCAACAGAAAAATACAACGGTATTCAGCTCAGATGGGCGTCCCATCGAACACTATGAGGTGCTTCCGTCGTTTTCTTTTGCTGCTGGTTCTTCCTGATGTTTCTTCTTCCAGTATTCATCAAGTGGTTGTGCAAATATAGCTTTCCCAGATACAACTCCAATTCTACAGATTGGCCAAGTAAAAGATCAGGCTAATGGAAGTAAAAACATAATTCAAGTAAAAGGTGCTACATTATTCGCTCTAGTCTAGAGGACATAAGTTGTAACTTCTGAGCTCCAAGGAATAAACTTCACAATGCAGATGCCAAAGCCATATCAGCAACTGCTCTGTTCAAGAAAGGGATAAAGCTGCAACACTGGAAGAATACACTATATTTAATCTCCCATAATTGTTACCTCTATTATGAACAACTTACTCCAGAAATTTTACTTAGGTTCGAACAAAGTCATCGCATACACATTCTCATTAATCTGCTTAGCATTTTTTTGAGGGGATAATCGTGGCTTACAAAAACCCAGCTGAGAAAAGGGCAGAGTTCATCAAAAGGTAATGATTCAAGAAAAGGCAGGCTACCAATACTTTCAAGAGATTAGAATGTCAAAAGTACCAGTAGAAGTATCATTACAGCAAACAAGGAAGAAGAGGAATAGAAAGGCATATTATGCAGCAGTTATTTGCTAGTGCTACAAGGGAGTACTAACAAATTCACTGTTAAGTATCTTGAAGGCTAAAAGAGGCAGCAATAACTCTTAAGAAACACAAGACATCCTTATCTCTAGCAAGGCCCCTCAAAATCAAAATGTTGTCAAAGAAAAGAGGAAAATGAAACACGAAGTTTGACAAATTTAATGATATCCATTCAGGTTGAGTATATAAGTTATTAATGTTCATTGAAGGTTCAACGGATAAGAGCTAAATACTACTGCGGTTATGCACTTACATCTGGTGTCTACGCAAAAAAAATATTTTCACTCTTCTCTTGGACAAAAAAGGCATCCATCCGCATTTATATGCTTGACCTGAATCTAAGTTAGTAAAACGCTGTGCCCAGCTAAGCAACCCGAACACACACTCAGAGGCATAACCCCATCCAAAAAGATGTTGAAAACAACACCTATTTTTTATCTTTAATTAGATGGAAAAATGCTCCTTTACTTATCTCTGAGTATAAGACGTAGATGCACAGTGCAGTACTATGGATGCCGGCAGCTTCAACCTGTTAAGGGCAATGGCAGAACTCTATTAATGATTCTTTTATTTTTCTTTGATAAACTTCTTCTCTGTATCTAACTTGTCAATATGTCAAAATGCACATTAGTAAATACACCACAGATGCAAAAATGCATACTTGGCAACCATACACCAAATATATCAAAAATCACATTGTCACATTGTCTGACAGCCATAGCAGCAGAAACTTGTCAAAAGGTACATATACCAGAAGCTAGGAAGACAAAGGGGTAAAAGTGAGAAGGAAAGCAGGTTTTTCTTTTACTTCTCTTCTTTTTCTCTCAATATCTTTTGGCGGGGAGCTTTAGAGGATGTTCTCCAATTCACTTTCAGCCATTGGTCAAGGAATTCATTGATCCAGTGATCGAGGTCCAGCTGTGAATAAGGAAGGAGAAACCACATCTAGTGGATTGTCTCATACTCCTTATTGTCGATCCCCAAAAATGCATAGATATTTTATTGAGGTTTTAAGCTTAATTTTAGTTGCTCTAAAGGATAGATTGCGGGCACCTATCATGTTGATGTCTTCAGCTTTCCGGAAGTCCAGAATTTTGTCTAGGCAGGTGAAGCAAGCTAAGCACAGACTTAGATTGTTGGAGGAACAAGAGGAATCGCAAATATCAAGGGAAAGCGAACAGCACATTAGATTTAGGACAGGCCAAGAGTGGCCTCTACAAGACACTACTTTGAGACTTGAACCTATACCACACCTGAAGCTATCAATAAATAACAGAACACTAACAACTGAACAACCAACAATAGAAATTCTTTATCCTTTTAATCATTAGATGAAGGGAAATCTCTTTATATCTTGCGCATTGATGAAAACATTAGTATGACATTTCTTCGAGCACGTTATCTTCACTAGATGATCATGAAAAAATGGAACTTCCGGTTTATGGGCTTTATCTGGTTTTGCCTCTTTGATGTTCTGGGCAGGGGAAGAGGGTAGTTTCATTTAGACATTTCTTCAAACACCTTTGCTCCAATTCATGATTTAAGAAAACCCAGAACACCAAATATAATGGGCTTTTTTTGTGATTTTCCTCTTGGTTGTTTGAAGAGCGGTACGGAGCAATATCCTTGACGGAATATGAATCCATACTGATGCATATCATCTGTTAATCTTAAGCAAAACTTGTATGGAGGAAGGGTAATAAAAACTTACATTACAGCGCCAATTACCAGCGGAAACGACAAAAATCTTCTCCTTCCGAACATGTTCGCTGTACTTCTCTCAGTTCAGTAATTTCCGTCTTGAAGCAAAGAGATCGGAGCTATCAGCTATCTGCTGCGAGCTAATGTTTTGGTCAATTACATTCACGTCTCTATTCCTTCAGAAATTCTAGAAATTCCCTTCAACTTTTGGAAATGACCTTCAACTGCTATTTGATTTAGAGATTGTTTGGATAATATAAGTTGGTGAGTCACTCCCAATATTTTACTTTTATCTTGACCAAAATATTTATTACTCTAATTTATCTCTAACATTTTTGTAATTCATAAGACACACTTCTCGAAACAAAAACCTTATACATTGTTCCTCATTCTCCTTGTAAAAATACTTTTAATTTATAATTATTATAAATAATTTTAAGGGTATTTTAGTCTTTTTAACATAAAATGCTTATCATTATTTTTTTTTTTACCAAAAGCATTAACTACTGATTATCAGCTTCAATACTATAAAACTAGTTTCAATACTCAAAATTACTTTTCAACACTTAATACTTATCCGTTACTCTCAATCAACTAGCCCAAATGTGCTATTTCTGAAGTGTTGGTAAAACATTTACCTACAATTAGCTTTTAAGTAACATGTTTGTACAAATATATTTTTATACAATTCATGAAAAGTTTAAAGTGGAAATTAGGAACACCGCCAATAATACTAGTACCTTTGTAATCCAATTTGTTAGATAACGGTCCTACAATGGAACAATGTCATGTTGGTGGATTGTTAATGGTGAACTTATGGATTATTACATGCTATTTTGGAATATTTAATTGCAAATATTCCAAAGATATTAGTAATTAGTAACACAATGAACAATTAGATATGGATCCATATGCAATGAATACAATGAATTTTAATATATGATTATTCCCTATGAATAATAGTACTTGAATAAGTTATATATGAATTTATGATATCATAGTCAAGAATTATCTTAACCTCTTACTGGTATTATTGCACATAAAATTTTAATTTAATTTATATCTTGCATAAAATAATATATAAATTGTCGTGTAAGTTATACAATTGTTAAGCAGAGTGTTATTACAAAAACCAAATGTTGTACCAGAATTTCAATTAATGCATACACAGTTTTATATCCTAAGCTAAACGTGATATTATACTGATGCAAAGTTTTATGCTGAAACTATTTGTTCTTATAATTATGCCAAATTGGTGTAATTGTCTGCGCTTCGCGTGGTCATCAAAAGAATCAAAAAATGACTGATGTCATAATTATTAGTAAAAAAAATCTATCTTTACTGACCAGAAAAATTTTAAAGGTGACTACCATTTTTTTGGATTCTTTTAAATTCTTATTTAATTTCTTATTTTGTCAGAGATAATATATGAAATTATAATCCAGGTTAAATATAAAAGTTGAAACAACTCATTTATAAATCAAGAAAGTAACTTAAATAACCACATGCACAAAAAAATATCCGACAAAGGTATATATTTTACACATAATTAACTTATAATATACATATTAGCGAAGAGCTATAAGTTAAGTGCCCATCTGACTTAGTACTCTTTGAGAATAAAAACGTAAAAAATAATGAAAAAGAGAAAAGATAGGTACTGCAAAATATTGGGGAGATAAACATGAGATGCCTTTAGCGTTTCTTCTTCTTCTTCTTCTTCTAAGGTCTTCTCTTTCAGAATTATATTTTAAAGCAAGCTTGACATTTTTATTTTCTGTCAAATAACTAAAAAAAAAACTAAAAAGGAAAGAAAACAAAATAAAAAATCAATTATAATGTATCATGTCATTGATGGTATTAAATTTCCTAGATTTCTACTAATTTCTTTTGTTTATCTCTACGCTGTTTTTTCCTGCAATTTCAGTCCCAGCAACTCAAAACCCATAATTTTATATCTAAAATCACAAATATTCAACTACCCATATTCTTCTTTACCCCATATTCTACTATTATGGCTCTTCATCTAAAATGACGAATTAGCTACGCATTTCATACGGCAAATTGCTGAAAAGAATCTGTCAATAGATGTAGTTAATAGTTTTTGTGCCATTATAATATGTATATAAAACGTGTTTCATTTACAATGTGTGTGTAAGGGACTGAGATGAGAAGAGTTGAATCAACAATAAATGACTTTTTTGTTACTGGTAATTTTAAGAATACGATTATTATGAATAAGAAAAACATCACATCTCTTAGCTAGGAGGAAAGTTTACCTTAAAGTGCCTCCTTTTTTTCTTTTTCGTTTCAGAGCCTAGTTTCTACCTTCTAGTGCACTATAATATCTCACAATTTAAGTGAGGAAATAATGGTCAATAGCCAAAAAAAAAAAAAAAAGAGCAAAATGGCCGTAGCCCTAAAAGAAGAAAGGAGCATCAAACTTAAGCAAATCAAAGGGGCCTTGGAAAGGAAAAACGCAGCATTGGAGCTTCTGTTTCATTGGAGCTTCTGCCAAAACAGAAGCTATAGCAAAATTTTGGAGCAAACAAAAAGAAAAAGAGAGGGAAAAAAAATCCTTTGCCTGCAGCAACGTTGAGCAGCAATAAAAGAAATTTGAATCAAGGTGAAATCTTCAGCAATTAGATTCTTTTAAAAAGAGTAATACAAAAGACATGGTCACTTGAATCAACAAAGAACAGAGCCAACGCAGAGAAGAAAATATAGGAAAAGAACGAAAATGGGAAGAAGAGAATGAAGAACTCAAGTTAATCCTTTTAGACTCCAGACTTACTGGTTTCTGTATGTCACGGGAGAATTAGGTATTGAATTTTTGATGGATTGAGATGAGATTACTAATTTTAAAAAAAAAAACTAGAAAAAAATAATAAGAGAACTCATGGAATTTTTCATGAACCGAATGAATGAATAATGTGAATGTTCTTTAATTAGAAGATTATGGTTTTGTTCGAGTTACCCATATCATGGGTAAATATAATTTGATGAACTGAGAGTAAAATATGAAATTTCGAGGGTTGGGTATTTAAAATTAGCTATGAATTAGCCTAAGTAGGGAAATTAATACGAGATCGATATAATGTGATTATAGATTGATTGAAGGAAGCCATACAGATTGCTCGAGTGACGAGTTTGATGTTTCGACATGAATACAGTGAGTAGTAATCTTACCGCAATTTATGTTTTTATAACCTGCATGGTTTATACATTATTTTGAAATTAAAATGTGTTACCAAATATTTAAAATTGCATGTGGGACAAGTCCTTTACTTGATATGGTACTGAATAGTTTACTTGAGACGTTTACAGTTATTTAAAATGTTCTCACTGTTACTAGACATATTTTACTGTTACTTGAGATATGATTGCCGCTACTGAAACTGGATTACATGATCTGATAAGAATTGAAATGCCCTGTACTATTTTAAAAATGCTTTCATGTGAATATTTACTGTTTATAAAGAAAAGTATAAATGAGAGGAGACTTTGAAGGATCTCGTAGCTAATGGCGGGTTCGTTAGACCTGGTGCACCTTGTATTTACAGATTACCGATTACAGTTATAGCCCTCGCTAGTGGGAAGGTAGAACTAGCATACAGTTATAGTTTTCCCTCGAGTAGGGACCTATAGTTATATTTGACTCCTTTTACGAAGGGGTCCACACAGTGATACAGATTACATGATCATTTCTTGAAAACCTCCCAAACATAAGGAATTGATATGACACAATGCTTATCGAGTTTATTACCGAATTGTTAAATTAATTTCTGTTATAGAAAACACATGATGAGACTAATTATTCTTACCGTTTTGAAAGGGCATTTTATTTTTATGATAATTTCTGAATTTTATTATACAAGCATGTATTTCTGACTTGTCCCCAATCAAAAACGGTTGTGGTTAAGTGTTATTACTCACTGAGCTAGCGAATCACTCCCCGCTATTTTTTTATATAAAGACAACAGCTGACGCGAGCAAGAATTTCGTTAATTAGAGTACACGAGTTGATAGTTCCTGGTGAGCCCCACACTTGTTCGCGTGGGCGAAGAATTTATTTATTGTTACTGTCTTTTCTTTTGAACTCTTAGAGTCACTCCATAGTCATTTTTATTAGTGTCATGAGTATTCATTTGTTATGTTGAACTAGTTACTAGTATTGCACTTTCTTTCCGTATTTTTGAGATAGGCTTAGTATTGTTTTATTGATAAGGTTGGTAATATTGGTGAAAAATCATTTTCGGTTAGTTCATGAAGATTGTGGTTGATTTAGGTGAATATTGGTTGGTTGTTAATTGTTTATAAGACAGAAAAATTTTTGGATAGTCCGAAAAGAGGGAAAACTCTGTCCGATTTTCTGTAAAATATCGATGAGGATTACTTGGGAGCACTTGCTCCTAAGAGCCGGTCATGATCCTAAATTGGGTCGTGACAAAGTTGATATCAGAGCTTTAGGTTATTCCTATGACTAGTGGAGCATACGTCGGTAGTAGAATATCAATTATGGTTATGTAGCCGGCCATTCTCATAATCGTGATTCTGCGAGGATGTGATAGGATGTATCTTGTCTTTTTCTTATTCCTTCGTACGTATGTGGCGATTAGGATCAAATAAGTGAGTCTGTCACTGTTTATCTTATTCTTGTATGACTCGGACCAATCGCTAGATAAAAATAAAAAATAAAATAAAAATTAGCTAGAGGTTCAAGGACATCAAATGATGCCACTAGACAAGCAACTATGTCCTAGCAGAGGGAAGCGAGTGAAGTAGAAGATAAGTCCAATGAAAGGTTCGTTTTGCCACAATGAGGGCTTTCATATTGCTAAAATGTGTAATATAGTCTATTCATGAAATTAATACTAGTCTACCACTATAGCAATAAGGGATTGTTATCACAAAGCTACTTAAATACAAGCAAAGTGAAATTGAGATCTTGATATAATTGATAGACAAGAGAAGATTGGGCATGAAAATATCTCTCTAGACAAGCACCTAGATTGACTAAGATTGTCGGGAACATAAATGATAGTTTGGAGGATCCTCAGAGGTTTTTCATAGAATACTTAAGGCATTGTGAACTCTAGGTATTCCAGTGGGAGGTCCGTGAAGCTAGAACCTTACAAACTAGAGAACATGTCTAGTAAATACATAGCATAATATCGTACTATTAAGAATACAAATAGGTGAACATAATTGACTTGGGAACGAGTTCACTAAACTAATTATGAACCACTTCCTTCTTGATAGTTTCTAATATGAACTTGCCTGCAAGATAGTTTAAGAAT